TACCTGGAGAAGGTGCGGCAGCTTGAGCGGGACAATGCGGAGCTGGAGACCAAGATCCGAGAGTTTAGCCAATGCCAGGAGCCTCTTGTGTGTCCCGATTACCAGTCCTACTTCCGGACCATTGAGGAGCTCCAGCAGAAGGTGAGGTTTGGCGGATCCTGGGGTACAGCTGGGTCTGAGGTGGCCAGTGGGCATGGCAGTCAAGACACCAATTAGGACTCAAAGAGCTTTGGACTCTCAGATTCTCGAGATGTGAATGGGGACAGCACATGTACGGCTGGAGCCCTGGGTATGATTTGTGTATATGTGAACTCTCTTCTTGGGTTTCCTCAGATCCTGTGCACCAAGTCTGAAAATGTCAGGCTGGTGACCCAAATTGACAATGCCAAGCTGGCTGCTGACGACTTCAGAATCAAGTAAGTAAGGCTGGAAAAGATCCGGAGTTTCAAGGCCCCTTCCTCCAATGTCTGATCACTTGTTGAGAGGGGAAATTCTCATCTGTTTTCATCCTTCCTAAGTTTCCAAACATTTTACTAGAACTTAAATTTATAGAACATGGAAGGGACAGAGAAAGACAGAGAGAAAAAAAACAATACCACCTAAACAAATCCATCATTAAGTCACACATATATAGTATAAACTTGTGCATTTAGTTTTCTTTCATTTACTTTCTTAAATGGAAGATGAGGCAGCCTCTCTTTGTTAACTAGTGATTTTAAGAAAGAACAGAGCAAGTCAGACAGAAAAGGACAGGTATTGTCGGATCCCACAAAATACCTTGAGTGGCAAATACATTGAGACAAAAGTACATTAGTGGTTCAGGGCCAGGGGAGGGGAAAATGAGGAGTTAAAAAGGAAGAGAATGAGAGAATTGACTTACAGGCTAGTCAGTCTCCAGTTCTAGCTGTAGAACCCTCAGAATATCAGATGTTGCCACTAAACTAAGCTGAGACATGGGAGAAGAACTAGCAATTAGGAAAAAGAGAGCTTATCAGTTGAGGCAGAGGGCTATTTCTTATCCGACTTAGTAGGTAATGTAATGGATGAACCCTGTACTGAATCCTTAAGGTCTATGTGATCTAGGCACATCAATGAATCATTTAGAACCTCAGTTTCTCCTTTGTATAATGACAATATGACAACTCTAGACCAACTCTAGCTTCGCTAGACCATGAACTCTTGGAGAAGAGGGCCTGAGTCTACTTCATTTTCTTTCTGAGGAATGAGCACAGGAGAATGGACATAAACAGATGAGGCTCCAAGATGTTGGAGGAGGTGGAAACGGAGGGTGTTTCCTGCAGCGTTCTTGCTAACTTTACATCTCTTGTGATGGAAGGTTTGAGAGCGAGCACGCCTTGCGTCAGCTGGTGGAGGCCGACATGTGCGGGATGCACAAGCTCCTGGACGACATGACTCTGGCCAAGTCTGACCTGGAAGCCCA